TGCCATTCTGAAAAACAATTTGTCAAATTGTTATAAAGTTAAACATATACTTACCATATGACCCAGAAACCCTACTCCTAGTTATTTCCGCAAGAGAAATAAAAACAACCCAAATGTCCATTAGCTGGTGAACAGATAAACAAAATGTGGTACACCCAAACAACAGAATAATACTCAATAATAAAAAGAAAAAATAAATGCAACAACATGAATGAACCTCAAAAACATCATGCTAAGTGAAAGATGACAAACACAAAATCCTAAATAATGTGTAATTCCATTTATATAAAATTCCAGAAAATGCAAAATCATAGAAACACTGACAGTTACTTAGGGCCAAGAGTGGGGGTATAGATTAACTGCAAAAGGACATGAGGAACTTTTTTTTTTTTGAAACCTAGATAACCTTGGGTATGGCGATGATATTTTATTTTATGTTATTTATTTTATTAATAAATTTATTATTTATTTTTATTTTTGGCTGTGTTGAGTCTTTGCTGCCACTTGCGGGCTTTCTCTAGTTGTGGCGAGTGGGAGTTACTCTTCGTTGTGGTACACGGGCTTCTCATTGCAGTGGCTTCTCTTGCAGCAGAGCACAGGCTCTAGGCGTGGGGGCTTCAGTAGTTGTGGCATGCAGGCTCAGTAGTTGTGGCTCATGGGCTCTAGAGCGCAGGCTCAGTAGTTGTGGCGAAAGGGTTTAGCTGCTCTGCGGCATGTGGGATATTCCCGGACCAGGGCTCAAACCCAAGTCCCCTGCATTGGCAGGTGGATTCTTTACGACTGCACCACCAGGGAAGTCCTGACAGAACGTTTTAAGAATGATGGAAGTGTTCTAAAACTTGATTAAATAGTGGTGATTATCTGACTGTGTACATTTACCAACACTCATCAAAATGTAATTAAAATTAATTATTTTTATTGTGTAAATTATACTCAGTAAAGAAGGAAGGAAGGAAGGGAGGGAGGGAGGAGGGCAGAAGGGAAATTTCTGATGCCAAAAAGTACTGAAATCTTGATGTAACAACATTAAAAATCAATTTGGAACAGAAAAAAATCAGCTATCACCCAATCTTCCTATCATAGTATTTAGTTATTTTAATTTTTGCCTTTTACCCTTTAGTGTACATTTATAACCAGGAATATTTTCTACAGTGACAATCTGAGTGAATAACATTTCTTTTTATTCATTCAAAATAATCGAAACAACTTTCTTTGCCATTGATAAAAGTTTGTATCAAGACATTCAAATATTTGAAACAAATATTTGTATGTTTTATAATTCAGTATTTTCAAGAAATCAGTTCCAGTGAGCAGCAATATTCATAAAATGCAATATCAAATACTTGAAAGAACACCTGATTTGGTTGTACTCATGTTATCTGGAATCTACTAAATTAGATCTGCAACTAAATAGGTATGAACCATCACTTAAATCTCATTTGTTTTTCTGGGCTTCAAGTTCCTGTCTGAAGATAATAGGAATTGACTAGATCAGTGCTACTCAAAATGTGATCTGTGAACTGCTGCCCGTCCAAGAACAATCTATAATAAAAGGAGCTTACAACTAAATGTAAATTGACTCACCAAACGTTTTATAACTAGTCTTTCTCCATGAAGGAAGCATTGTGTGGATTTACATTCTGGTGCAATCTCCCTTCTCACTGCAGGCAGGAAACAAACAAGTGGGCATGAGGCTAGATGATACTTTAGGTTCCTTCTGGTTTAAAAGTGATCAAGTCATTCTACACAGTCAAATCCTCTGTACTCCTGATACATGTAAGGTCTTTCTCAAAGAAGCTGCCCACAAATTCTTCCCAGTTTTTCAAATATTCTAGTTCTAAAGTCTATTCCCCCAAAGTCTGTCGTGCCAACTCTCAGAAAACCTAAATGCCAATAATACATCTTATTTCTGACGTCTTCCAACATTCCTCCACTGATAACGCTTGGGAAAAATATAAATAGAGAGCGTAATGAAAACTATCTGGGCCACCATTTAAGGGACTTAAAATACAAATATCTTAGATTTGCCTCTCTTCTGGCATGAGAGGACAACATAACATTGTGACAACTGAGCTTCAGTACTTAAATATAGGGACCTCAAGGTGTGTGCATTTCAGGTACTACCTTGTTAAGGTTCTGATTTGAAAAGCCACCCTGATCATTATAATTCACTTACATTGGAGGTTTTTTATGTTCATTTTCCAGTTATTAAGTGTAGAAATACCCAGGAACCCCAGAGTTAGAAAGTTTAGGATGCCTTCGAACAGTAACCTGCCACAGCTCTGAGCCATATATTAGGTGGCTGAATCTGTTCTATGACTGATTTATGAGTCTAAGTCATTACTGTACACTAATATCTACATGGGAAAAAGAAAACACAAGAAGGCCATTCTCACTAATTCTTAAAATATGTAAGATCAGGATTAGATTTTAGCGGTCATCATAATTAAACTTTATCCTTTAAAAATAAAATAACCTTTGGGGAATTTATAAAACTTTATTTGTAATACATTAGACCATCAAATTGAAAACAAGGCCCAAACTTAAGGCAGTTGGGTCACTGAATAAATTGATATTTTGAAATAATTTGTATTTCAGATTCATGATAAACACTACTGAGCTAGGCTCATCTGGGGTAGTGCCTAGCACCTATATAAGACCTCTCCAGAATGGCAGTCTTAAACTAGTCAGATTTCTATCTAGAAGCTCAGGTCTCCAAAATCAATTGTTTCTATAGACCCAGGTATATGCTGTTAAGCTTATGACTTTGCCTGAGAAGTGCTAGAATATCACTTCCACTGCATGCTATTGGAGAAGAAAGCCACCAGACTAGCCAAGATTGAAGATGTAGAAGAATAATACTCAACCTCTCAATGGCATAAATAGTAAATAATTTTATACCATGAGTACAGCATTACTATAAGGAAAAATTACCGTGTCAAAACTTGGAGCAATGGTTTGGGATCAGGCAATGGGCCAGAAGGTGAAACAACTCAAGACTTAGAGACATGGCCTTGAGGAGACAGTTGGTAATGGCTTAAAGAGAGTGATAAAAATGTTATGGAGGTTGGAGAAAAGACAATTTGTATTCTATAATGGCAGAAATTTTGGCAAAACTAATACTTGGAATAGTGAAGAAAACACCTAATAAAATAGTGGATTCTAGCTAAGGAAATTTCTAGGTTAAATATCAAAAGTGCCAACTAGTTGCTTTTAGCTGTGTGTGAGAAGGTATAGTTAGAAAGAGATAAGCTAAAACTGCTCAGTTTTCAAGCAGAATTTATAGGAAATAAAACGAAACCAATATTTTCTGAGTTTGAAAGTAAAATTGTTTTTCATCCCCAGTCTCTCCACACAGCAAAAAGCTCTCAAAGCAAGAAACGCCCTGAGACCAAATCCAGGGTTCAGCTGTAAGACCTTTGTTAAGACCTCAAGAAGATTTAAGATGGTATCTCATAGCATCTCTCAGTTAAAGAAAAGAACATCTAGGAATTTTAAGGCCATATGTCATAGACCCTCTAAGCTAAAACAATAGTGCAATAGTGCTCCTAAGAATCTAAGAGTATGGAAACACAGCAACACTAAAGGTGACCCAAAGTAGACAAACGTTTTTCTAAGAAGTACATGTGAGCTTGGCTTTTGTCCAGTGTATTTGATTATAAATTAATACAATAATAAACCTACCAAGTTTTAATAAGGAATGAACCAACCTGTAATGAAACAACAACAGTACAAAATGAAAAGTGGCTCATAGACCCCGGATCTCCCTGGGCAGGAAGCAGATTGAGAAAGCTGAAAACACAGCCTATTTCTTATAGAAGAGGAAGGATGTTTCAAAGGATGAAACCAAGAGCCTAAAAGGTAAAACAAAGCACCACAGGAAATCTTACTCCCAGGGAGCCCTAATTAAGAAAATGGCAACATGTGCCAGCTTGGACTTCAGAATTGCTATAGGCCTGTGACTTCTACTGTCACTGAGCAGGACCCCATGGGGCCTTCTCAGGACAGATACCCTCACCCAATGCCCTCTGCCTGTCTCTTATCTGTAGAAAACTAGGCTCCTAGGCCTTCCACAAGTTCCAAATAATAAATTTAATCAGAGAAGGGAGAAAATGCAGAAAGAAAGGATAACAGTCAAGCAAGACAAAATAATAATACTTTAGCCATTAAACAAAGTCAAGCACTTTTAGTTCCTCCTCAAAGGCTATAGATAACATTCTGAGCCATGTCCTTTGAGCTGTTTTGCAGATACTGAAACCTCCACCAGGTGGAAGAAGTTAACTGTATGCTGCCCACAAACAGGTAGACCCCAGAGCAGCTGGAAACAGAAGGTTGATGATGTTGACTCCCGATTACCTCACAACTAACCCATCAGAAGAATGTCCGTGAGCTGATCACGCACCCCACAATTCCCCTCCCTCACCCTGTCTTTAAAAACCTTTCCCTGAAAGCCATTGGGGAGTTTGGGCCTTTTGAGCACTAGCTACCTCGACTCCTTGCTTGGTGCCCTGCAGTAAATGCTGCACTTTTCTTCACCACAACCCTGTGTCAGTAGATTGGCTTTACTGCACACGGGCAAGTGGACCCAAGTTTGATTTGGTAATACTGTGGACCTCCAGTTTTCTCTCTTTTTTGAATAGGAGTTTCTAGTATTATTATCCTATCTCTCTCCCACCACTATGTGTTGAAAATATGGGGGAGATAACTTGTATCTGTAGTTCACAGCTCTTCTGATAGAGAAGAGAGATATACAAGTTGATCTGAAGGACCACACCCAAGAATCCCCACCTGGACCTACACCTGACTTAGATAACAAGATCCTGGTCTTTAATATTATACCATACTTGCCTGAGACTTTGGAGGCCTTGAGAAGGCATGTAGGAAAAATGAAAATATTTCCAGAGGGTAATCTATAGCAGATTAAAGATGGCCACAAATTCCTTGCTACCTCTGTCATTGAAAGATTAAGTTTCATGTCCTTCTTTTCAATATAGGCTACCCTGTGCCACTTGATTGACTAACAGAAAGTGATGTCTTGGAATTTCTGAGGGTAGGTCATAAGAAGCCTTGCAACTTTCTGCCAGGTCTCATGGAGCCCTGAGCTACCATGTGAAAAGACCAACTACCCTGGGGCAGCAATGCTTGAGCTATGCATGCACTCTGAATAACAGTCCCATCTGAACTCTGCCTTTTAGCAGTCCCACAGATTAATGGGATATGATGGAAAAAGTCTGTTTTTTTAAGCCACTGAGTTTGTTATACATCAGCAATGTGTTAGTCATTATATGTTATTTTTGTGTCATAGTTTTAGATTATCCACTGTATACTAGAATACCCACTGAGAATACTAGAACATGTGATTGGACATCTCCAAAATAAAATTTTAACAAAACTGAATATCATAAGTTATATTACTGGCAGTGACCACATAATTTACATATATGTTCACCTACCAAGGGAAAATTAGGAAATTTATTGATAAAAGGAAAACAATAGAAAATTACAACTAAGCGATGTGACAAGTTAAATTAAAATCTTACTAAAACTGTACATTATTTTTATCTGTGTTTAGTGTAAAATCAATGCTTAAAAAAATGTTGACTTAAAATGACAACACCACCCATAGAACAGAAAATTGTACTTTCTGATGCATCCATTTTAAGAATATTAAGTTGCATAAAGCTAAAGAGTAGATACATATGAATTCATTGCTAACCTGGCATTTTCTCTGTCCTAGAGTCTTGTGTGAATCAAGCAGCACTTTGACCAAATGAGGTATTTTTCAGTCCTGGTGTTTTCTTCAAGGGCTTGAAAGCAGTTCGAGATTCATTATATGCACCAGGAGCTGGGGTGATTGATTTCATAGGGACAAACCTCTAGTGAAGAACAAGAAAATATGCCAGTAAGAAACTATGGTACGTTTTGATATTTTGTGAGTTAAAAGCTGCTTTCTTACTAATATAACATCTGGAGTTTATTTCTTAATGGAGTGAAGAAAATGTAGATGAGTAAAGATATCAAAACATAAAATATATACTTTTAGAAAAATCATCTATATATTAATACAGTAATGCATTATGTACTTTGCTAAGCCAGAAAGACTTTTCAAAGGAAATCATCTCAATATGAGATTCAGATGATAGTGTGTGGACAATCTTCACATTTAAAATATTCTGCAAGATAATAAAGAAAAACTACATGATCTAACATGGTTTCTTCTATGTAATAAAATTACATAAATTGACAAAGTTCCTCAACATATATATTCAATTAATTCAACAATACCATTATCTACCTTAAGAAAAAAATCTTAGATTCAAGTGGTATATAAATCCACTTTAACTTATAATATTAAAGTTATGATTTTATAAACTTATAATAAGCTTACTTATTATAAATTTATAATATTTAATTGATTGATATTAAATATACATGTATCTATATGTAAATTATGAAATCTTATGAAATATAGCATTGAATAATCTATTTTTTTAACTTTTTTATTTAGAATTAATTTAAAATTTGGAACATTCAAATTTATGAATAAAAATAATGCAGAAAATACCTGCGCAATGATTACCCAGATGCACCTGCTAACATGTTATGCCATTCACTGTTTTCATTTGCCCACTCTATTTCTGTCTTTCTCTCTGTATGTCCGTTCCTCCCTCTCTGTCTCTCTCTACACACACACACACACACACACACACACACACACACACACAAGCACGCATATATATAGAACAATTTAATGGAAAGTTATGTGTGTTGTGGCCCTTTACCCCTAAATACTTTAGTGTGTATTTATTAAAAATAGGGTATTTTCTTACATGTATTTTCTTAAATGTATCAATGATATGACTTTTATCTAATGTTCCATTCATATTCCAAACCTGTCAGTTGATCTAATTATAATTCTATTGCATTTTTCCCCTCTAATACATAACCTAGTCTAGGCTCAGATATTGCTTTTAGCCTCCTTTCATGTAGGAACATTTCCAAAGCCTTCTTAAATACTATTTTATTATTTAAATGCTGAGTCAATGTTTTTAAATGGTAATACTCAACCCTGGCTGCATATAGAATTACTTGAGGAGTTAAAAAAAGTATTGGTGCCTGGGTCCTATTCAGGACCAGATGAATCAATCTCTGGGAGAGAGGAAAGAAAGCAACTGAGTATCAGAATGTATTAAAATTTCCCAAAATATTCTAATATGCAGCAAGAGTTGAGAACCATTATTATAAAGGAAATCTTATGTTTTAAAAATTAATAGTTGAAGACATAAGAAAATTCAATGCATTTAAATAAAATACCAGACAACTCCTTAAGTCAAGACTAAAATAAGTATCCCAATAACATAACATGTCTTTAATCCTATAAATCAAAAATTGTATTCTAAGTACACCTTGTTAATTTCATTATTGCTTTTTCAATCATAATCATTAATAAATCTATTCATATTCAGCTAAACACTAACACTACCCCTAGCAGGCAGTCCTGTTGCTTTTAACTCCTCCATATCTTTCACCCCAGAACCATGATTCTTTTCTTCATGATCCTCTTAAGCAAAACTGATATATTCTTTTTCATTTCTGAAAATATATTTAAAATATTATAATTGGTGCTAAGTAATGTCACATTAGGACTGTATATCAGATGAACAGGAATAGCATAAAAACTGCGAGTTCTAGTTGTAAAAATGGTATTTTTAAAATCAAGGGGGCACACACGATATCCCATTCCCTCGCATTCATTCTGTGTAGTACCTTAAGTACTATCAAGTTGCTCAAGGCAGAAACCTGCTGTTCATTCCTGATTCTTCCTAGTCCCTCACCACAACATTTAACCCATTAAAAAGTCATGTTAACTGTGTCTCCAAAATATACCTGCAATCTATTTGTCTCCAAGGAGTTGCCTCTTAGGTACAATGAAACTAAAGTAGCCCGCTGTAGTCATCTGAAGGTTAATAACCTTCCCAAGTTAAATAAGATAATCTGAGTTTTACATAGTACAATTGGTTAAATATCACAACTACTTGATCTGGCCACTGTGACATAAAGGTTTGCTAATGTTCTTGCCTTAGGAATATCTTAGATACCTTCAAGTCCCCTCAATATAGACCTTGGAGAACAGGATTACTGTGAAATAGACTCTCACATCACTAATAAAGGCCCCAGTGGCAGTTTTAGATATAATTTACAGCTAGGCTCCAGAGAGCCTTCAGAACCTTCTCCAAAAGATATGCATGTCCTCATAGATTACACGTCAACACTTCACATATTCATTAGTATATTTTAAAACCCAGACTAAAATCTCTTATAAGCTAAACTGAACTTCCACATAAGCAAATTTGCTTAGTAGATAACGTTTAATAAATGATTTCAATTTGAATATCCATCTCTGCATATTATTGTTAATAGTGTAATCTTAAGTCACTTCCTTTTACCCACATTTCTGGCAAAATGATTTGCCCAGGCTGCATCTGTTCCTAATTTGTTTAAATACCATTTTTCTTTTTATAGTCTCCCTAACACCACTGGATTTGTTGCTGGCATTGCATTATACCTATTACACACTAAATATGAAATAACTGTAGAACATTACCCGGGATTGAGAAAGAAAAGCAGGTGATGCATGATTTACGTTTGATGACATACTTTCATTCTTCTGAAATTGACTTTTAATGTCATATTTTCCTGGCCCTGGTACTCCCTAAATTACAGAAAGAAAAAAATACATACTCTCATTAAGAAAGCATCTACAGCGCCTAAGGGAACAGGTGGCTAAATATCTGAACAAAAGCTACAGGGCTTTTAAGTGATATTACCAAAGCACTTCATTAAAAAGCAAGACAGAACAAACTTCTTAAGAGCAACGGTAACAACAACAACAACAAAAAAAAAACACGAAATTTTCCTTAGCAAAGCCTCCCAGGAATCTGAAAACACACTACTTGAAACTTTGCTGCCCCCTACTGATAGAGCTCAGAAAAAAATTATCTAGTTCTTCACGTGATTTAGACACTACAATGAATAAAAGTAGTTTCTATATTTCTTCCATTTAACTTTATACAACCAGCTCATCTCTAAAAAATATTTTACTGTTTTCAAATTTCTGTTAATCAGTAGACTTCTCTGTTTCCAACAAATAAGCTTTAGGATATATTTTATTTTAACTATAAATGTTAGATGTAAGACATTAAGCTTTTAACTAGATATTTTATAATAGATAAAAATTAATTCAGTAAACATTGGGATTGGGTTTTAATTATCTTTCTAATAAAATGTAAATATATATATAGAAGTACTATTTAGTCATCATCAAATATTTTAACTACCTTGATAAAGTACCTTTCATAGTATAAAAAAGATAGATTTAAATCTTCTGCTTCATATAATATCTCCCCTACTTTTCTACAGTTGAAAGAATTATTCCTTAATTTATGAATTAAATACTTGGCTTATACCTTGGATGTATAATGAAATTCTATCAGCAAATCCTATCACCTATATCATAACAATACAGGCAAATCCAACCATGTCGCTCCACCTCCACAAACACTCTGATCCAAGCCACGATCTCTTACCCGGATTATTGTGCAATCTTCCTAACTGCCTCCCTTGCTTCCACCATTGCCCATTTCAGTCTGTTTCCAACAGACTTCTTCATTAAATAAGATAGAGCAGTAAAATCAGGCCCTTACTTCTAAAAAGCTAGACTTAGGATTTAATAAGCCAATTAAAAATAAGCTCCAAAATAGGATTGTGAGACACTGACCACTGAAAGGCAGGTCTCTGTTTATGACAATATGAAGAAGATAAAAAGACTTTACAAAGACCAAACCCTAGGCACAGGCTGAAAATGCCATAATATTTATCCTGCTTTTCCACATTGTGATCAACAAAACACCTGCATTGATACCAACCTATTAAGTACATGGCCTCCCAGTGTCTCATCAGAGATAAGGTGAATCAGAATCTTGTTGGGCCCAGGAATCTGCACTTCGACCAAGCCTCACAGAAGATTCTCATGCACAATAAAGAAACACAGCTCAGCCAAAAAGGGGTCACTACTACAGCTTTTTTTGCTAAGCACATCCATCTTAAGGCAGAAGGCCCAGATCTTGAAAGTATCCTACCTTGGGAACAGAAGTTAAAGATTATTGAGGCATGGTGTTTATGGCATTTTTTCATGTGCAAGCTAATAAAAATGGGCCTGTCTTTAAAAACTACGGTATAATCATTCATTTGATCAGATGGTGTGCAGGAATTAAAAGCTTCCTGACTAATGTTAATGTGCAGTCAGGACTGAGGCCCCAAAACAGTTTAAAACTCACACTGCTGGGCCTCATCCAGATACAGTCACTTTCCACTGGTTCCGTAACTGCCATTTTTCCCTAGAGTTTCAGAGTCCCCTTCACGTCAGTAAGGATAATAGTGACACCAGGCTGCCAGGTATTTCTTTCAGCTCACATTCTATCATTTAAATTCTGTAATCACATTTTTAATTTTCAAATTATCTTTCTTATTCTCTAAATCTTCTTTATTCACACGTGCATTATCCTCCATGTTTCTGTGGATATAATTATAATTTTAATTATTTATAATTTTGTTCTATTATCTGTTTCCTTCGAGTTTCACTGATGTTGGCTTTTTGTTTGTTTGTTTTTGTGTTTCACATTGGAGGGTTTCCTCAGATGTCTGTGTGGTGATCCCTTGCTCTTCATTCAGACGTAAGAGTGAGTCCCTAAAAAAATCTGACTGAAAATTTCACACAAGAATAGATGTGACCTGAGGGACTTCCCTGGTGGTCTAGTGGTTAAGACTTTGCCTTCCACTGCAGGGGGTCCATGTTCGATCTCTGATCAGAGAGCTA